CCACAAAGTGTTCAATGGATGTCTTCACTTACTTAGATGTTTATACTGCATCTGAAAATAACCCATACCCTTGATTAAAACAGTTTTCTGCACTGTTCAGAGACTGCAAGAAAGTAATTTAGGTCTTTGTAATATTTTTGTGAATAAGGACATGGAAGACAACAACAGTTCACTAATGACTAAACTAGTACTGTCTCTGGGAGAAACCATGGGCATATTACAGGATGTTAATCAGAAAATTCAGAAAATTGTAATCAACAGAAATCACAATAGATCTCGCATGGGGTACAAGGACTTCAGCTAAGAATTTTGTGGGGGATTTTGTTAGTTGGATTTTTCGTATAAGAGTTATTGAAAAATGGAAAACACCATGAAATCTAATCTCATTTTAAAGTGTTTAACATTTTATGTCCTGCCTGAGACACGTCCTGCAGAAGCAGTACTTTTTTCTCTTGTGAATGGGCTTTGGTTTAGTTCCAGGAAAAAAAAAAAAAAAAAGGATGGGGGGAAAAAGACTGCAACTAATACCACAGTTCCTACAGTCTGATGTATTCTCTGGAAGTCTTCTGCCTAGTGTGATCAAGCTTAAGCTGATGCATTAATGCATTTCACTGGTAATATTCAGCTGCTATTCAGTAGATTTCTTTTGCACTTATGGTTTCAGATTCTGCTTCATTTATTTTTTCCTGATCAACTAGAAAGTTGAGGAAGTCCCCAAGATGGCACTCCTCAGTACAAAGGTTAAGTTCAACTGAAACATTCAGTCTTTGTCTGAAGTCTGCCCCAGTATTTATGGGCAATTTCAGACAATTCTCAAAGTGCTCAGGTCACTCGTGCCTGGGGCATCATCAGAACCATGAAAGGGCGATCCCGGCAACCCATGGCCGGGCGGCCAGACCCGCTGGTGTTTGAAGGCACAGACTTCTTAAGAGAAGATCTCTCTTTCCATTCTAGCCCAACTTGTCTGGAGTAGAATCATTAGAGCCCCTGTAGACTTCCTCTGGGAGGCTCTGAGAATGTTTTCAAACGTCTACATTTTCAAAAAAGCAGAACCTGTTGTCTTGATCCTTTATGTTACTTCGCTAACTCTCTACTCCATAAAACACAGCAGGGCAACATGGCTGGGTCATTGTGAATTTCTTCTGATGGCTAAATGAGAAAGCCTATCGTTACCTTGGGATAATACAGAAGGTGGGATAATTCAGAAGCCACGTTAGCTCCGTGTCCTGACGGCACACACATTGCTTCCATCAGTTTAACTGTATTTGAGCATGAATACAGCCGTGCTACAGCTCTAGCAGGATCCTTCTCAGGCTCATAAAAGCCATGAAACATTTCAATATATTCATTCTGCCCTCAACTTCTACAGCTGTGCCTTAGAACTGCACCTCGCCTGTTCCCACACTCCAGAGCACAATCATATTAAGCAGCCAGCAAAGGAATTTAACTCTGAATTTGCTCGCATTTCTGAATTTAAAATCAGACGTAAGAGGTACATAAATCTAATTCTAATTTCTTTTATGTAAATTCAAACCACATGGAGAAAACAAAAATTTGTCATTCTGTTTGTTTGGGGGCTTTATAAACTGACACCATATTAAGTTATTTAAGGCCAGTAAAACTTAATGGGAGTTATTCTTGCTCTTGCAACAGCATTTGCTCCAGGAGATACTTCCAGAAGTGTGGTGAAGTCATTGCCTAATGTCTCCCCTGAGACTTCCAGCATATAATGGGATACATTTTTCCTTCTCTTCCAATGTTTTTTATTGACGTAGAAGCATATTTACTTGATAAAAGCAGAGCAGCAGGCTAGTGTCCCTCAGGAATATACCCTTGCTAGGGAAGATTTTAGCCCCCTCCCAAAAGTTCATTGAATTCAGGTTGATTTAATATGCTGAAAAACCTCCCCATTTGAAAGAAAGTTACTTTCTACTTGCAAAGTCATTGTTTTCTAAAGCACTGTCCCTCCTGGGAGAAAAGGAAAGGCAATATAAAAACCCTCTGGGACTATCATGTGGTAGTCAATAAAATTGCTTGTCCTGAGTTTTGCACTTTAAGCTTTTGAGTGAAGGAAAATGGAAGTCTAGGAACAACCCCTGGAACTGTTTTCAGGGTACCAACAAGATCCATACCTTCCATCCAAGGAATGAAAACCAGTAATTGTTCTACATTACTTATGATGAAGACCTTTCTAGAATATCAACTCTTATTTTGCCTGATATAGTGGTTCATATAGCTCTCAATTTAATTTTCAAAAGTTTTGGTAAAGACTTTTGCTTTGCCAGTTAAATTTTCCAGGTGGAGTGAATCCTCATCAAAGGTGTGCTGTCAAGAAACACCACATAAAATCACTGATTATTTTTTTTTTTTTAATAGAAGAGAATGCAGTATAATTATTTGGCTTACAGGACTAAAACAGCCAAACAAACCATCGCAACCACCTGGCTAAAAACTGTCATGTTTGGCATAATCTAGACCCCAGCTGGGTACCACCATCAACGACTGCAAGAACCAGAGACTGCATGAGGAGATACAGCAGATCCCAACAATCTTCTGAAGTGCTCAAAAACAAACAAACCAACCAAAAAATCAAACAAAACTCCCGAACAAACAAGAAAACCCTTAAAATAATATAAAATTATTTGCATATGAGAACGCTCCATCTGTAGGAGTTTAGCTAATTCCAAATGCTAAAGAGTCAATAAACTGTACCCCAGAAGATATAAAAGAAGAAGATTACAAGATTGTAAAAAAACACATTGGTGAGATTTTCCTGTGGAAGTAGTTCTATGATTTCACTTTCTCTGCTAGAAGGCTGCCTTTCCTTAAATGGCCTGTCTTGAGTAGTGGAGCCTTTTCTTCCTTTCTCTTTTGTCTCATTATCCCACTGCATTTACATCTCATTTCAAAACACAACCATCATTGATAAAAAGACTTTAAATCTTCTTTTTTTCCCCACCTTTAAATAACACTAACTATATTGCTTCTTTTGTGTTTACTTTTAAAATTCCTGAAAACTCACCCTGTCCTTTTTTCTGTCTTTATGACCATCAGATTTCTTGTTTATTTTTCAGATGGGAAATCTGGTCTACCAGTATTCCTGCTATAAGTTTAACTGTTACATGCATGCAGAAGAGAGGAGTAGTAAAAAGTTTTCACTAATCTAGATAACAAGATTTCAGATTTTTTTTTCAGGTATGAACACTATTAAATATATTTACTGTAACCAAGGTAAATAGAAAAAAACCCCCAACCATTAATATTGTCCTCTTAGAAGTGCTCATTGTTAAAAATAAAAGAACAAAATGCAAACATTTCACCCAAAATGTCAAGTATGAAAGACATCACATTCAAATAAGAAAGGAAGGCCTGAGTGACGAAAATAGGTTACTTTCCTGTGTTTATGTTTGTAGGTTACTTTCCTGTGTTTATGTTTGTAGGTTACTTTCCGATGCTTATGACTGCATGCTGAACAGATTTAAAGGGCTACAAGGAAAACGTCAATTTCAAAGTGAAACAAACTTCCACTGAAATTGAGCAATGACACAGAAATGAGCACTTCTGCTTTGTAGCACCTCGGTTTCAACAGCCTAACAATGACTGTTTCAGCAGACTTTTCACAATTCTCTCATAACCACTGCAATCTGCCTCCCTTAGAACTTATGAAGAAGCACTGAGGACTTTCTTAGATAACAAATTGAATTTGAAATCTTAATCTGAAATTTCCGTGAACAGCCCTACACTCCTTTGTTAACAGTGCTTAAAAAAAAAACCAAAACAAAACTGCCCAACACACAATTAAATATATTTTCCATTTCCAGTTAAGGCAAATCAGTCCCACCCAAAATTACTGGTTAAATAAAAAAGGTTTGTTTTGGTTTTTTTTTTTTCACTCTGCAGTAAAATAACTACTATTAATGGTGCAATGGGAGTTACAGATTGTTACTTCCTTGAGGTCAGTTCTGAACACAATCTGAGTTCAGTTTGCATTGTTCTCAAAACGGACGTATTGCAGGGAAAATCATAAGCACTGAGTCCTGATACGTGTAGATAATTATTAATGTGGTCTACGCACAAAAAAAGGAAAGTGTGACGTGACAAGCACAACAGAATCGCTATTTTCACTCTATTTACCACAAGGAAGAGGCTGCTGGTGAACACAGCTCATATCTCACACCAGGAAAAGGTGCCACAATAAGGACAATTTGAGTACAGCAACTTCTCGAACACAGGAACAAGCTGGCACACAGAGGGATAAAGGGTGGGCAGACAAGAGATGTCATAAAACTTAATAACCTGTTGGGTACTGGAAGAAGCAGGGACTGGCGTAGGAGGGAATCTGGCAGACAGATGTACCTGGGAGATACAAAGGGAGGGTCAGGAGGAAAAGCTGCCCTGCAGCTCTGGATGCTGATGGATGGAATGGCTTGGGCAGGGAGGCAGCTGAGGGGCAGGTGCTGGGCACAGGAAACACAGCCAGGGAACCAGGGAAAGTGTTCCCTTGTGCTGGGGTGCAAACTGTGAAGCTGCTTTACCTTCTTGTATGCTGTAAAATAACAAAGGCTTGACGAAAAGGTGCTTTCTTGGGTAACACACCTGTCAGACAACCATCACACTGGCTGTTAATAAAAGGGGAAAATGACCTTGCGTTCGATGTGAAAATACACAGTGTTTGCAGCACGGCTCTATCATCACACACCGCCTCTCAAAAAGGCAGGAAGAGCAGGAGCCAACCTCCAACTTTGGCTCTGCCAACCTGCAGCCCTCGCTCCCCTCCACGGGGCACAACCGCGGCGCGCTCAGGAAGGCGGCAGCACCGCACAGCCCAGCGCGCAGGGACGGGGTTAACGCGCACCTCGGGGCTCCCTTGGCTCTGTCACCACATTCCTGCTCCTCGCCCTCCGGCGCACGGGAAGCGCGGCCGCCGCGGGGCGCGCCCGGGATGAGGCGGCGGCGGCGGCCCGGCCTGTCCGGGCGCGGGGCTTGGAGGGGGCGGGGGGGGGAGCGCGAGACTCAGCCCCGCTCGCGCCTTTGCGCGTGGCCCCTTGCGCGCGCGCGCTGCCCGCCTCGCTCTGCCGCCCAATGAGCGTCCCGGCCGGAGGGAGCTCAGGTCTCGCCGCTCCGGCGGCGTGAGGGGATGGGGATGGCGGTGCTTGTGTGCCCCTTCCCGCGGCTGCGGAACCTGCACTGAAATAACCCCCCGAGCTCCGCACCGCCCAGTCCCGGCAGTGGCACACGCGTACAGATACACACGCGTACAGATAAACACACGCGCACACATCCCCCCAGCCCCGCGCAGGATGCGCCCCCCCCGGCCTTCCCAGCCCAGACACGGCCCCGCTAGTGAGGTGTAGGTCAGGGGAAGGTGGGCTGAGGCGCTGTGGGCGGGAGAGCCGTGCGGGGAGCCGGGAGGTGAGCCAGCAGCGCCGCTGCCGGTTCGGAGGGAGCTGAGGGGGAGCCGGGACGCGGGGCGGGGACGCCGAGGTGGGCGCGGGGGGATGGCGGGGGGCGCGGGCAGGGTCGCGCCGCGCCGCCGCCTGAGGCGGTGAGAAAAGTTGAGGCGGCTTTCGGGGGCGAGCTGGCGGGGCTCGTGTTTGATCAACTTCGCGCTTAGGTGCTTTGTTTTTAACTCGCCTTTATCCTCGGTGCACTTCTTTTATAACTACTCCTGTTCTTTCCTTTCTTTTAACAACGGAGGGAATCTCCCATGAAAGTTTTCCCTTCACGGAAGGCGGGACTGAAACAATACCCCGATGCTTTGTTCAAATATAAAACCTCCAGCGCTTGCTTTCCCTTTCCCTTTTTTTTTTTTTTTTTTTTTTTTTTTTTTTTTTTTTTCAGTTGGGTTTTATTGCCGCCGCTGCCGCTGTTGTGATCGCGCTTTCCCCCTTGTGTTTACAGCGCCTGTGAGGGAGAGACGCGCGGAGGAAGGACCGGGATCCCTGGGCTGTATCAGCGCGGAGAGCAGGAGCCCGGCTCAACCGAGCTGGGAGGATTTCACCTTGTTGCTGTTTGTTTCGGGAGATTTTCGCTCTCCCCACCCCGGACACTGTCCAGCTGAGGGTTTGCTTCCTTACTGCGTCCACAACCGGCCAGAGAAAAAGCGCTTTCTCTGTTAGAGGTGATTTTTGTCGTGGTCTCCCTGCAAGGAAGGGATCGGCACCAGCCTTCCAGGAGGGAGACAGGATCAACTGAGGTTTTCCCTACCTCCGGCAGAACGTGAGGAGTTCAAGTGACACCGGCACCGGCCTGTGGCTGACTGACTGCACAGCGAGCTGGAATCACAGCCGGAGCTGCTCGATTTACCTGCTCGAGGACCCTTCAAACCCTTCTATTGACGGTAGAGATTTGTATTCCAAGGAAAATCGGATTAATATAAACTATGCAGAGCTTTGCGGGGATATCGGGAGACTACTCTGTCTGCATGGCTAATCTTGAAATTGTCTGAAATAAATCCTTAGCGCAAGGAATAACAAGATACTTTCAATTAGTTTTTTTTTTTTTTTTTCCCTTGTCGCTTTTTTCCCCTTCTGCAAGAATTTAACACTTCCATCGGAGGGTTTTTACAGGAGAATGGGACACATGCTGGAGAACTCACCACGCTCCACAAAAATGACGGGGGTAACAGTTTCCATCACTGTTGCGGTATAAAAGGTTCTCTTTGGATTGTCTGCTGGTGGCTGCTAAGATGGATCAGTTTCTCCCTGTTCCTGTTTGCGATGTGCTGAAGGATCCGGATTTACTGAAATACTGACGCCCATGAACTTACTCCCTCTCTGCTGAAGGCATCGGATGTGACAGTGCAGAGAAAACATGTGTTTCACATTTCTGACTGGTTGTTTTGGTGCAATCAATACCTCCACAAGAAACATTGACTTAGGTGGCGACTGTCATAGCGGGAGGCACACGGAGCGCTGCTCCCGGCTTGCAGGCGGAGCGAGCACAAATCAAAGAGCCCGCCGATCCTGGCAAGTGGGGGCTTCGCTTCCCCCCAAAGCGCGGGGCACAGCCTCCCGACCCTCCTCAGAGAGCCCGGCCCGCGGGTGCGGAATGAGCGATGACCAAAGCGCTGTCAGGAGTGGCAGCCAGTCGGATCGGATGGGCATCAGTGAGGCAATACCGGTTGAAAGAAAGGTGGATCGCGAAATTATTGCCCGAAGGAATAGCAGGCGAGGCGGAATGATGATAAAGTTAAACTTCTGTTTCATCTTCTGTCGGGGATGGTGGGCGTTTCTGTTGCTTCAGCTCCACATGTTGCAAGCACTGGCACAAGGTAGGGCTAGAGACATTTTTGTTTATAGAAATGCTGCATCTGCCTTATGAGAGGAAGGGAATCTTGCTCGGGTACAGAGAAACCCTTTTACTTTTATCCTTATCAGAGATAAACTGCAGAATTTGCACTGAGCTGATTCATGTAGGAATGGTCGTTTCTTACACACAATCGTTTCTTTATGGAGCAGGGATTTGCAAACATGTTTCTCTCCCTTTCTAGTCCTATCCTTACCCTATCCCAACCTCCCACGGAGAATCACAATCCCTATCAGCACCAAACCTGCTTTTTAAATTTACTTAAATGCATCCGTGCTGTTCTTTCAGGCAGCAAAAGAGTTAACTGCTGGTTTTGTGTGTGTGTCTCTGTGTCTGTGTGTGTGTTTAAAACCACTGTGCTCTGAGATAAGTTATTAGGAGAAGGGGAGTCATAAATCCTCCGACTAGAACTAAACCAGGCATGTAAAAGGAATTCTTTAAACATATAAGCACTATTCTATGTGAGCCTCGGTCTCAGCATTGTTCATTTCTTTTGGATTGCCAAGTAACATTTACCCGAGACAAAAACTGCAATTGATTCGTATCTGAGCATTTCCACATCAGAGATCCTTGCAGTCAAATGAGTCACTTGTAAACGAAGGGTCAGAGTCGACCAATAGACTTTAAATACCAAGTGTCAGTCACTTTGCATGTAAATTCCCTTCTCAAAAAATTGCCAAATGTAGCCTAATTCTTAATAATCCTTTGACAGAGTAAACAATAAATGGCAGGCAGAAGCATTACAGTTGGCTGCGCCAAATAACACGCTGAACAAACGCAGCTTTCACTTTCTTTGCTGGGTTGAGTTTTATTGCTGTGTGCATTGTCTGGCTGAAGTGGGGTGTGCTGGACAATGCAGAACTGTATCGTGTGGGACCAGGAGTTAGTTATTAAAGCGGAAGTTAATACTCCATGAAGGGGAATAGTCTTTGTGTTTTAGCTCTTTGTTTTCAAGTATTTCACGGGGGAACAACGGTGCATTCAGTTGTAAGAAGTGGATGGGGCTCGTGTGTTGAGGAAGAGGAGTTGGAAGCCAAGTCTGCTGTAGTTTGTCTGGCTTTACTGCTAGCTCTGGCTTTACTGCTGCATCCTCAGAAAGTTTGGAGCCGCAGGATACAGAAGAGATTTAATCCAGTGTTTTATATGGACTCCACCCTCATAAACCTTTCTTTGTTTATGCTGTCACTGCTATTCCCAGATTACTTCTGCTGAGGCCTGCAAGCCCTAACAGGGTATTGTTATCCTGAAACAAGCCATACCTGACATAATTATCTCTGCAAATTAAAATTCACGTCACTTTTTGCTGTTTTTCTTTTGGTAGTTGTTGTTGATAGGTGCCAATATGATGCTTCATGTTGGTAGATAAATGCTGATGACTCTTGCTGCTTACATTAAAAAAAATATCATAAAAGGTAGTTTAGGTACCAGGGATTCAGGAATCATTTTAGGTGCCAGTTTTTCTATGGTTAGTAGTAAACTAGTCAACTTACTGGATTAAAAGTGAATGAAAACTTTTGTTCAGCCCATAGAATAGCATATTTTTTTAATTGCTTATTTCAGATTACTCAGCATTTGCAGTAGTGTCAGTTTCAGGTACTGTATATGTCAGGGGGGAGTTAAGTAGTGTATACAAACTGTCCCCCCAAAAAGTCCTTACACCAAGTTAGTTTTAAGTAACTGAGAGTATTTAAGGCAAGGAGGGGACAGGAAGAGAATAGGAGATATTATTTCTGAAAAATATTGGCGTAAAGCTTTGTAGTATAGAAGACATGAAACAATGAAAGATAAAACAATTATGTAATGCAGAAACAAAATACATTGTAATTTTTATAGAATGCTGAAGATTAGAGTTAGTCCTCTTAAGAATTATTTGACACATAAACCAGTGTGGAGGTCTTGATGTAGAGGGCTTTATTGGAATTTCACAAAATTTGTATTAATTTATAACTTACCATTCTTTTTGCACTCTGAAGTTTTATTGGCTTATTTGGAATTTCACAAAATTTGTGAAATTATTGGAATTTCACAAAATTTGTATTAATTTATAACTTACCATTCTTTTTGCACTCTGAATTCTAATGGATTCTAAGACATTCATCATTTTTATGCAAAAATTTACTTTAGAGAGAAGATGACAATATAAAAGTCCTTCATGAAAATGGAAATTCTTCTACAGCCACAGAAGTTTCTAATGGAATGATGTGGTCATATGCATGAGAGAATTACATGACTTCAATCTTTTTATAAGATAAAAAAATGAACATTCTAAATATATGGGCCGTGGCTCTTCTGAATGAATCATAATACAATACTATAACCAGCTAATGTTTCCATAATAACTATTCCAGCATTAAAGACATAAGAAGTATTTCAGGCATACTGAAATGCAGGTTCTTCATTCCTAGGAAACAGATCAGGTAAAGTTGTTGAGATCAAGTATCTTATACTTCAAGGTGAACAGAAGAAATGAGTTTCAGCTGCAACAGGTTGGTTGAGTATTCTCTGAACTTGAATGATCATCCATGTGAAAGCTGATCTTGTGATGAACTGTAGACAAAACCACTTGTAAATTCATTTTGTGCTTAGTTCTTCAGCTGGTCTGTCTTCTGATAGCTGTGTTACATATTTCAATACAAAATTTATCTGCTTTCTTTTTCCTTTTTAAAGTGAGTTTAATGAGTCTAAAGTGTACATTGGGTTGTTGTCCTGAGTTATAAAGGATTCTCTTTGAACCTTAGTGTTGCTGTGCAGACCTTCTCATGGTGGGAGTGAATTTGCAGGCACAGAAGACAAAGGCTGTGGCCTGTCCCAGGCTGGGAATGGAGCTCCCACTCCTGTGATGGCCAGGGCTCTGCACAGGGCTCCCTCACGCTGGGGGTGTGTCTGCACTGGCCCATCTCAGAAAAATTAACCTGTAAAAGTCCCCAACTGTTGCTTTGTTTACTCAGCTCTCTCTGCCTGCTGGCCTCTGCCACCAGCCCTCTTTTCATGGCATTTTTATTAAATGATGTACGAGATGCTAGTTAGCCTGAAGTCATCGTGTGTCATCAAATAGTGATGAGATGCTAATTGATAATCACTATAATTATCAAATTAAACTTTGTGAGGTGGTGGTAGAAGTGAATCATTTGGCCCCAGTGGCTCCTACTGTACTTGGAGGAACATCCTCCTGCAGAGTCTGGCTCAGGGGTCTGCATGCCTGGGCAGAGTCCTGGAATACACAGAGCTCCTGCAGCTTTGGAATTTATTCCTTATGTATGAGATTAACAAACACGGATGCCTACTGAGGTACAAAATGTTTACTAAACTACTGGAATATTTGTATGGAAATAGAAAAATTCTGCTTATTTAAAATAGGTTGGGAGTTGCTAGAGGCTACTCTACATGCATCTTAATGGATTTAAGTACCTTCCCAATGTCTATCTTTTGTTGAGGAATGAAAGAATCCTTTGAAAATATATTTCTTTGGATTGATAGCTGTTGTTCAGAAAGATTTTAAAATAGATAAAAGCAGAGCAAAGCTTTAAGCTTCTCCAGCAGGAGCCTGGTATCTTTAAATATTAAGAAAGAGAAGCTTGTCTGATTTTTCTTAGTTTTATGGCAATTGAACTGTAATCTTTTTATGCTACTTAATCAAATCTGTATTCAGAATTCTACAAATACCTGAATGTAGGTTTAAGGTAATATTGATATGCATTATGCTTTGAAAGAAGCCATGACCCAGTAGATAGATGAAAATGTTTCTGGGGCCCAACTTCCTTAATTCAAATATTTGATCTGGTGTATTATAAGTATGCTGAGTTTAAGAAGCCTTTTCAAGCAAATTTCAAATTGCATTAGGTGCAGAGATGATACACAACTTGCATAGAGTATTTAGTCATTAGGAGGATGGAGAGATGGTAAAATGTTAGAGCAATACCTACTGGAGAATGAAAAAGATTATGAATTAAATGTAGAAGGAATCATTTCTAATTCCAAAAGACTCTGCTGGTCTTAATTAGAAACTCATGATTTTGTATTGGGTTTGCCTTTTGTGCTTCTTTTCTTTAGAAAGCATTTAAAGTACGTGCTAGTTTTAAGCAGTTGAATTTTTTTGTGTATATAATTATAATAATTAAGCAATTGATTTGGAGGAGTAGATCCAGGCTCAGTCTAAATAGAACTGGGGTGGAGATAGCTGGCATTTTCTGTGGCCAGATCATGCGACTTCTCACTCTCTCTACTGTGGTAACTCTTGGTTTGCTTTGTATGTTTATGTTTTGCTGGAAAAGTACCTTTCTTAAGACTTCTTACAGCAAGTTCAAAGAGCTGTGAGCACATAATATTAACATTCCAAGCGCAGTGTTTCAGATGATTCCTTGAGAGTGCAGTGTAATGTTAGAGCTGAAGGGAGCCCATAAGTAATGGGTGTTTATTATCACTGTGTTCATGCACTGCCAGGAGATGCTCAGGGCAGGAATGGCCTGGGTGTGGAGAGAGGCTGTGGTAGCTCTGCTCTGTGGCTTTCATCTCACTTAAGAAGAACAGAAGGCAAGTCTGTGTCCTTGAAAAGTTCTGGAAGGTTCTGCCATCTCTGAGCATAGTCATGCGTTTTGAAAAACGAAGGCAGATGTTGTCTAATTTAAAGATTGCTTAAACAAACCACAGAAATACTAAAAACCAATTTCAAACGAGTTATCAGGAAGCTGTTAAGTGAAAGGACTGGGCTTTTGTAGATCTGAGAGGGATTTTTTTAACTGTCTTATTGTTCTTATCACCATACAAGTCTGGAGCACATTCTTGACTCAAAAGATTTCCATGCATTTTTCAACTTTCTGTACAGCTTTACCTGAACATCACAATCTGGATGACCTGGTTATTTGGTCCAGCTGGACCTTTGTGCTGTGATGAATCTGTGGGCTGACTAGAGGCAATTGGATTCCTCATGGAGCAAAATCTTGTTCATGCTGAGTTCATTACAGAAAT